TCTAGTTTCCCATTAATGTGGCTCTGAAACAGCAGTTAGCAGTTAAAGTTAGCTATTAAACAAAAACTATTAAACACTGTTAAAGTTAGCGTTAGCTCCCTGCAGCTAATGCTAGTTTTACCTGCTAAACACTGTTAAAGTTAGCATTAGCTCCCCACAACTAATGCTGCTGTTAACTGCTAAATGCTGTTAAAGTTAGCGTTAGCTTCCTGCAGCTTTCCAAAGAAACTGGATTTTGACATAAATCAATTCTTTGTTTTCCATCTGACTTAAATTAAGCAGAAGTTCTACAAGAGACGTTTTCTGCACGAGCAACCAAATCAGTTGAATATTTATCAGTTTGTTGCTTGAGGCTGATTCTTATGGGGGCTAAAATAAAAAACAATAGAAGTAAAAAAACGCTTTGAGTCGTTGGTAATTCTTCGAACCAGCTCCTGAGCTGAGCCCAGGATGCAGCAACGGTGCCCCGCAATAAATAGTTGACTTGTTTTGGTGGAACATTTGCATGCAGGGAGGAGTTAAAGTTGATTTTTTAAAAACCTATTTAGTGTCGGTTGCTGCTCTGGGATTGTTAAAACACAAACGCAGATCTTCATCATCCATGCAACACTTATAAAGACACGACAGAAAAAGGAGAGAGACGGAAGGAAAAGGATGGATTCTGATGTTTCTGCTTCTGCACACTGAGGTGATAACATGATTCTTCTTCAGATTCTTCTCAGATGTTTTACAGACTTTTATGTCTCACAAGACCAACAGACAAGAACAACAACCAGAATCAGGAGAAGACGAGTCCACAAATAAGGAGATCAGGAAGAAGAGGAGAAAGCAGAGCACAGGGAGCTGATGGGCGATGAAGAGGAAGAGGAAGAGGAAGACGAACAGGAAGAGGAAGAAAAAGGAAGTGGAGGAAGTGCAAGAAGAGATAGTGGAAGAAGAAGAAAAAGTAAGAAGAACAGAAGTGGAAGAAGATGAAAAGGAAGAGGAAGTTGAAGAGGAGGAAGAGGAAGATAAACAGGAAGTGGAAGAAGAGGAAG